AGTACAGTAAGAACGGAAATTTATACTAGACCTCCACCAGGAAAGTATAAAGTGAATCCACCCGGCTACAACCGACTATAATGAGACAAGAAACAACAAAAGCTGCATGTGGATTTGAGATAACTCCTGTCGGACACAATCGAAACGAATAAGACGAGAAAATAGTTACGTTCACAGAGAGAAGCAAAAGCTAAACCAGCACGTAAAATAATTATTCTCGGCCACCATCGTGTGAGTGAAACTATAAAGCGAGAATTTCAGTATACAGCGTGCGTTCCCATTGAAACGTGATTAGCCAGGGCAGCCTCGTCAAAAGACAAACGCGCATTTTTACCACATGACCAAGTTTCCCCTTCACTTGTCGTTTACTGGTCATTATTTCTCTTCACAAATTAGTAGTTTCACTTAATATTTTTATCCGTAAGAATTGTTTTGAGCTGTTTTAATCTACTCGTTTTCTACCGTGAAATTCTAAACTTGAATCAGACGTTTGCCGTTTGCCACAAACGTGAAGCTAAAACTCTGAATCAAAGCGGCCCCCAACCGTACAAGGGAAACGTCAAGACAATATTTCAAAGCCGGCCCCAACCGACAAAAATACCGCCTTAAGAAAAATAACTAGGGCAATCAGGAGACAAGTAATCTTAGTGAAAGGAAATTTAACTCTTGTGGGGTAGCAAGATCATGGAATAGTATGAAAACCAATCCTTCCGCCCTTGCAGCTAAACTGGGCAAATCTGTTTGTACGTGTGTTTATTTATAAGCAGAAAGCCACTCCCGAGGGGAAAACCCAAACACACGCTTGAGATAGCGCTCTCGCTAGTAATTGGTCAGAGTTATAACCAGTGTTACGCGAGCGAGCACTGCATGGGTAAGCTATGTCTGTGTGGGGTGGGTCTATTGATCGCCACAGTGCGAAACACCAAGAAACTATTATTTTATGACTTCCTTCTTTTTTGAAAAAAATAAGCCATTTTGGTCAGTAAGAAGGCAAGAGTTTTTGATGTATTATTATAAGTGCATCTTTACATGGATGACATCAATATGAGACAGAGGTTATAAAGAGTTTATTATGAGACTGATCCGCTTATTCAATCGATATTCAAAGATTACACTAAGGAATTATACACTAATTGTACCTCTCTCCATGCAAAGCATTTTCTTGTCCGATGCAAGTGCTGTCTTTACCGATGTTATAACTGCGCATCTTGCGAGCCTTCGGCTTGCTGGGCTCTACTTTTCTTTTGGCAGGCATGTCAACGGGTGCTGGGCTGGGCAACACACTTCTGTGAAACTGCTGTTTTGACTTGTCGACACAAACTTGCCCTGGAAAGGGACAGATTTATGGTTTATCAACTTACGACCAGTAGCCTCTTGCAGTGTTTCAACCATGAGAACAACTTAAATTAACTCTTCACAGGGAGAGGATAAATACCATAAGCCCGAGAAAACAGCTGTCTCTCCTCGCTCCTCGCCGCTAGGGAAGTTTCGCCAGGAGGGACGTCTTCCCCTCAACAACAGAAATTCCACACTGATGGTAAAATCGATGTTTACATAATTAAACTGGTAGTTACGGGGTTCCAAATGAATAGTTGTTTGATTTTGTTTCTCCTGATCGATTATGGTAAAGTTTTGGGTTCTTCTGCGAACGAGCTCCAGCAAAACTCAGATGCTTCTTGTAAGGAAGAATATATTCCACTAATATTAACTGTTTTGTAGAAATTCATCGCGTTTTCATTTGACCTTCGTGGCCCTTTGTCTTTGTCGGTCATTCGTAAACAATAGCTCAAACAATGTAACTACTCCGTTGGCCAATC